AAATATTCCCAACTTCTTAGTATTATACCAAGTTCTTAGTATAATACCTGTTGAAATCAATGACATTTTTACACTAAATTCAAAAAAATAGCAAAATAGTCTCTACACCAAAGCAGAATCAGAGGACATGATTAGTATCACTCATGATAGTCTGTCATTTGTACAAGATGATGAAATTTCCTTTAGTTTTTGACAGAAAGCAGAAGAAATATGAATGTCATAAACAGCATTCCCATTCTTACTTCTTTATGGTTAGCTGTTTTTTAAATAAATTTAATACAAAAAGTGGAGGGGAAAAGGCATGTGGTTTTTTTGCTCAAATAGCTATTTTTCACACTTGAATCTTGAAAAATTTAACCAAAAAGCAATATAAAATTTACTTAAAATGCCATTTCTAACGTCTTCAACATGAAACCAAGTACACTGTTCACTATTTGAAAAAACACATTGAGAACGAACAAAAAAAAAAATAAAGCCAAACTTCAGAATAAGCTGGTGAATAAATTGTTTCTCCTCTGGTGTTATCTCAAAAGCTCCAAGCAATGAACACTTCAGAAGTGCTTGGTGATTGTCACTTTAAAAGCACACCTTTGAACGAAAATCCCAATCAACCAAGGAATGAACACCCAAATCTAAGAGCAAGGAACAAACTTCATAGAAAAAAATTAAAAATTCATCCCTGTTCCAGATGATAACCACCTATGGAATTGGGCAATCAATCAACTGCACCCATAGCATCCCTTTAAGCCATGAGTTCTTTCACAGTCCCAGTATCCATGCCAGTATTAAATAAAGCACCAGTGACTTCACTGAACATCTTACACAGGAATTTCAGTGGCTGTTGAGAAGCGCCCTGTGAACACCAGTGCGGGACTTTACTCCAAGTTTTATTCCACACTGGGAACATCCCTTGCCACCCTCAGGGCATGACTGTTTCAGCTGTGCTCAGTTCTTGGCATGGGGGACCTCCTGCTTTTCACAGTGGAAGATACAGCACAGCCTTTCATAAGCCATCCATTCCTCATCTCTGAAGTGCCTGAGTGGCACAGCAGTTACCGTGTCCAGCAGTTTCATTTATCCATGTTCTGGCCTCATGTGCAAAACCTTAATCCCAGTTTACAGAACATCTATTTATGTTAAATAAATAAATATATTACATCTATTTATATATGTCAGTCAAAACTATTGCTACTCGCACATAAGTATCACAGTGAAGAACTTTTATGGTTTTGCCCAACATTACCCAAAATAAACCAGAGAACAAACCATAAAATTAATCTCATTCCGAACACTCTTCTTGATTAGTTTTCCTCTACTCATTACTTTAATAAATTGAAGAGAGCAAATCCCCAGGAAACAACCCAGCCCTTGGCTGCTGCAGCACCAGCTCCATCACACAACAGAGTGTTCCACCTCTTTTGGCCAATCCAAGCTAATTACTGAAGAGAAGGCTTAGAGTCCCAAACAACAATGACAGCCACAACTGAAGTGTGCAGTGGAAAAAAGCTGTTTCCGTATCACATAGCTCCCCTTCTTCATAAGGGGTAGGCACATTACCTACTAAATCAATCTCTCAAGATGAATAATAATTTCCTCCTTGGATAATTAAATACATGTGTGAATTTCCCTGGATGTGTCTCCACTGCATTCCCTGGTGTTGATTATAGCTATATCTTTGAGACATAACCTGTTTTGAGTTCCATGTTTTTGGTTTTTTAATGTATGCTTTCTCTCTTTCTTCTGATCTGCAACAGGAATGCAGAAAATCTAGGTTGGCCACAACAACAGTAAGGCTTTCTGACTCTTCCACTTATGGCAGACAAAACTGAGAAATACAGAAGTTTGTCTGTGTAATAATTCTGAGCCAGTGTCACAGCATGCTGCCAGAGGTATAGGCTGATGTGGCAGATTCATGTTGGGATTCAACCCAACCACATTTAGGCCTCTCTCTGGAAATCTGAACTGAAAGCACACCCATGGGAAGGGCTAAGAAACATGACAAATTAAATCCTTTTGACGTTTCTTATCATTCACAACACTTTAGCTTTTTAACAGTGAATACAAGCAGACCTGGTGATGACTACCAGAAAGAAATGATGACAGCTCAGGCACAAGGACCAGTGCTAAGTTACAAGAATAAAGAAATGGTACTTGAGCACTTCAGAGGGAAGAACTGAGAGCAGACTACAGCTCTTGTTTGTTTGTCTTAATATTGAATCTAAGATGAATGAATAGAAATTACACACTCAACTGCACTGGGCTCTAGAAAAACCACATTTAATTGGTGCTGATTTTAATTTTGCTTACAGGTCTTTTTGTCAGTTCACAAAAGCTATGCCCAAAAAGCATGACTGAGAAAACATGAAAAAATTAGGAAAGAAACACAACTTCTGAGCTTGCCCTGGATTTTCTGAATTAAGGTCAACAATCTTCTCTAGCAAAGAGATTTACATAGAATTAAAACAAAAATGCATACTATAAAGTTGAATATAACGTACTTTGGAAACATCTGATTCAAAAGATACAAGCCAAATGGAATACAGATCATTAAACAGGATTCTAGAACAGCCTTACAAAGTGTGTGATAGCCACTCCTGAATTTTTAAAATTAAGAACTACACACATTGTAAAATAAAGTACTACTATGCAGGAAGGCTTTCTGACAAGTACCAAATAAAAGATAAAGAAATGTGTGAAGGTAAAGGAGGTTGATTAATATCTTAAAAGTGGATGTTTTTTATGATGTCTTTAAAAACCTCAAGTCTTACCTTCCCCTTTCTTTTCGACTTTCTAACAGAAAAAGCAACATTTACTTTTTTTCTCAGACCTTGTTAAAACTTGGTTCTTTAGCCACGTAAAAGAGGGGAAATCTGACTGTTAAGTGAAAGTCTAGAGCACCATGTCCTTTAATTCAGTGATGGGAGCCTTCATTAGATTATCTCATAGCTATGGGACAAGACACAGCAAAAGCCAAATGATAAATCATTAAATTATGTTTTCTTCTTCTCCGGGCAAAGAGTGAGTATAGCATCAGATTAGTTTGAGAGACTAAAAAGGAAGAAGTCTGCAATATGCATCACAAGTGACAAAGCTAATACAATTTTTAAACCCCGTTTATTCATATAATCAGGCATAAGCACTTACTTATGCTAACTCGAATGTAATACATAGCCCAAATGAATTCCAGACTAGTGCATGCTTCAGTGTTTCATGTTCTCCCTTGCACATGCCTAGTGAAAGCCTGCCACTCTGCAACAGAGGAAGGAATTACTACAACAGAACCACAGGCAGACTTTGCCAGAAACTATACTTTTTTTGATATGAGGCAGAATAAGCTGAGTGTTTTAAGTAATGGATAGGTTTGCATCCCACTGTCTAGCAACAGTTATTCTAATTGTGTTTCACAGCTTCATCAGAGAGACAGAAATATGAACATTCTCTATAAACTGCACTGAAACAAATGACACTCCCTTCAGGCAGATCACCTTCCACCATTAAGGCAAAGGATTAGTTTATCTTTCAGCTATAAACTTGAGTTAGCTACACGTTCACCGTACTGACATCCCAACACTTTTTAATCTTATCATGTCAATCTTGCATCTACGTAAAAATGTGTATTTCAGTGCATAAAAAGATCTCTTGCTGCTGACAACTCAAAGTGCATTAACCTGGGAAGCCTTGAGATTTCTACACACACCCACACACTCCTTTCAGTACAGATCTCACTGATTAGAGAACGAAATATCCAAAACTCAACAGACATTTCACACAGTGGCATTTCTGCAGAAACATACGTTTCCAACACTTCAACTTTTACTTTCATCACTATTAGCAAGTTATTTTCCCAAGTTATTTCCTACACACATACCAAGCCCAGTGCCCCTGCTGAAACCACCACATTCACTGAAACTGAATGAGCTCCTAGTGAAACATCAGAGCTTAGCTGTAAATATGTGTAAATACTTTTATTCTGTGCCACTTTCATGTTAGAATACAACATGCATCAAGGTCACTGTAACAGATTGCAGTTTTCAGGCTTATAGAGAAGATACTGAGGAAATCAGTAACAGCAAACTTAATTAAGCAATGTCTAAAGTTCTGCCTTCTCCCAGACCTGCCCAGAATTCACATCTCTATTCCCTGCATTTCAGAGTCAGGTCTTTTCAAGGTACGGGAAGGCAGGAAGCTTAGCTTAAACGCTATCACTGCTGAAAGGTGAACAGAACTCGTTCTTTGCAGCATGACCGGTCTGCTCTGAGCTCTCCCAGTTTTCAGCTACAGATTACAGCCCTATGGGCCTCTTCCTTTGAAGTGGAGTTCCTCTGAGAGAAGAATTAATCCCCTGCCTGCAACCTGTTCTCTATACACTGAAATAAATTAGTCAACTTTTCCCTTCATTGCCATGTCAAGTGTAGCAATAAATATCCACAGGCTAAAAGCAAACAAACAAGGTTGGACGAACCATAACCTCACAGCAAGAGCATCTCAAGGAAGAGCACCAGGCAGGGCATAAGAAAGTTAAGGGCACAAAAATCAAAACTCCGGGTTCACTATCTGAATCCGTAAGTGCGTATGAAAGGCTAACATGCTTCTTGCCTCTCTCCCACTAGAAGCACTGATGGAAAGCAATTAAGGGACTCCTACAATTTAGTTACAGCTCAGCAAAGAGAAGAAGGCATTTTACATTATGAAATGCCTGAAAAAAAAGGCATCATCTCTGACAGTTGCAGAAGTGGGAAGCATTGGGACACGGAGCTTCCTTCCCGGCTATGCACCGGAGCACCGCACCAGCGGTCCGCCCGCGGCGGACTCCGGCAGAGTTGGAGCGGGGCTCCCCTGCAAACCTGGCCACCAATCCCCCGCACCTCAACCCCTGAGAACTGCTGCTGGCGCCGCCGACCATCCTGCCTCCGTGCCGGCAGCAAGCGACCAGCAGCTGCAAAAAAAAAGTCACTCGAGACGAAGGAAACGCAGCGAAAAGGAAGCAAGAGCTTACTTGCCTATACAGCACCGCCGGACGACCTCCTCGCAGCTGTGAAACGCTGTGCCGCTCGTCCTCCTCCCACCGCTCCGTGCTAGTTCCAAAATAATTCCTCCGGGCGCCGGCACATCCCCGGGCTCAGCCGAGGAGCGCAGGGAGCCCGGCCGCCTCGCCCCCCCGCCCGGTGCCCATGGTGTCAGCCACAGCCCCGGCAACTCGCGCTCCTTCCCGCCGGCGCTACCTCGGGGCGGGCCGCCGGCTAACACGGCATCGCACCCCGGCCGCTGCCTCCGGCTCGAACTCCGCCGCCGCGCTGAGGGGGGACGAGGGGCTCCCCGCGCCCTTCCCGGAGACGGAGCGGGGGCGCCGGGCGGGGGCGTGCGGGGAGCAGCGCCGCCCCTCCGCGGCGGCGAGCGGCCAGGCGAGGCGAGGCGCGGCGAGGCGAGGGGAGGCGAGGCGGCGCGGCGCCGCCACCGCGGCCGCAGCCAGGCGCGGCGATGCCGGCCCCGCCCGGGACCCCCGCCCGCCCCCCCGCCGCTCCCGGGGCGCTCCGTAACGCCGCCCCGCTGCCGGCGCCACCAGATCCGGTGACGCGCAGCCCTCCCCCGGGCCGGCCCCCGTGCCGGAGAGGGGCGAGCGGGCGGCGAGGCGAGAGCCGGGAGCCGCTTCCTACGGGCAGTGGGAAGGGGAGCTGGGACCACCGGGCGAGCGCGACCTCCGGCGCGCAGGGACAGCGCGGTCCCGGGCGCGGTGCTGGAGCTGCCGAGCCTCCCGCGGGAGGCGGTGTTTCCCGGGCCGCGGGAGAGCCCGCTCGCCCGGAGCCCGGGGAGCTCTCACCGGAGCTCTCTCCTAGGGAGCTGCGGCCGCTCGCTCACCCCGTGCCCGGCAGGAAAGTTATCCGCCCCCCTCCTGCTTCACTCTGCCTCCGCTTTTGCTCAGCTGCCCGGGCTGCCCTTTCTGCCAGCTGTGTGATTGGGTTTCGGCTGGCCGCTCGCCAGAGGGAACGTACATCGACCCCCCGTGTAGGGAAGAAATTTGGTGTCGGTTCTGTCACTTTGCCTGGCCGGCTTGGCGCGGCAGCGGCGCTGCCTCCTCCCCGCCCCGTCTCCCAGCCTCTAACCCAGAGAAAGGCTCTGCGGCCACCACCGGCGCACAGCCAGCGCCGCTCCTTCGGGCTGCCTCGGACAAGGAGGGGGCCCAAAGGGAGCAAAAGGAGTGAGGGACAAGCTGCCCAGTGCCTCCCGAAAGCCCTGCGTGGTCCTCGCCCTCCTGTTCCGCGCGTTCGTGCTTCCAGCAGCGCGCCCGGCGCCCTGCCGGAGATCCCCCGCAGGCATGGCCCTCCCCGTCGGACAGCGCTGCAATGACACTCTCTAACGCAGCTATCAGTCACTTACACAGGCACACCCATATATTTAATGCATAGATATGTATGATGAACACACCCCCGTACGCACAGGCGGCCGCCGCGGGAAAGCCGCATCTCCCCGCGGACGGGGCCGCCAGAAGTCGAACTGCCACGGCGAAGGCAGGAGGAGAATTAACGCAGCAGGAGAAAGTAGCAGGAGAGAGAGCCCGAGGGGAGCCACCAACGGAGCCGCCTCTCGGCACCGGGCTCGCCGCCCGCCGGCGCTGCGGAGAGCTGCGGGCAGGGAATCCCTCTGCGCCTCTTCGGTGCGGGGGAAAGCCCGGCTGTGCTGGGGCTTCTGCTGAATTGAGAGTGATGGAGCAGCAGTGGTCTCACCCGCATGCTCTGGGACCCCTTCCTGCTCTTGGGAATGTTTCTCTGCAGTTAGGCTGAGGATGTCAGGGAGAGTGGTCACAATTTAAAGTTCGCTAAAAAGGTGATTGAGCTTTGCTTTTCTGTAGCTCCTCCGACAGCCCTTTTCCCTTCAACTTCTTTAGGCTTCTTGTAATGAAAAGTGGTTTTCACGGGCATCTTACAGTTAAGGGCTTTTCTTCAACCAAGCTGGCACAAACAAAAATGTTTCTGTTCCTTATACACTCTTTTTATAAATATTACCTTCAATAATGTACAGTGAGCTATTGAGTGAGGAAAGGATTTAAACAGACAGCTTCATGCAAGTTAAATGCAAATCTAAGAGAGTTGCTCTGAAGAATGAAGCTAACTGTTGGGTTGATAAATGCATTAGAAAATGCAGTGATAAGTTTCATTCCTAATTGAACAGATTTGTACTTCAGTTCTCATCTTAGGTACAGATCTTTATTTTTCATTGTTTCTTAGTATTGAATTGATGTCAACAGTTCTTGATAGCTAGAAACTAACCAAGCTATTTGTCCTGTTGTGGTTCTATTGAAAGATTGAATCGTTTGAAATAATAGTTCTCCTGACAAGACTGGAAAAATAAATTATTAAAATTATACATATATGAGGGCTGGGACAATTGAAATACAGGTCTGAGAACTGAAATAAATGAAATGTAATAAACCAAAAATCTATCAAAGAAGTGAAATGAAACTATAACCCTCTTTTCTCATGCCCTGCTGACAAAGTCAACACCCAAGAGAGACATTTTTAAACAAAGTGGAAACAAATAATATTTTATGATCTTTTAGTTACTTTGTCTAGAGTCAGTCCCACATTAAAATTGCAACAAGGGCATCCTCCTTAGTTTTCGCTATCAAAGTCACCTATAGATTAATCAGTACATATCCTGTTCCCCCATCTGTAGGAAGATCTGTCATCTTTCATGGAGACCTCCCACTTCATTCTTTGTGTGATTATGAAGAGTGGATAGCTCAAGCAAGAAAGGAAGTTTCATTTCACAAGAGGAAACTGTTCTATTTTAGTGCAGTAACTTTCAAACCATTCTTACATTTATTAGAATACATGTATGTTCCAAGTTTCATTACCACTAAGAATATGCTGAAGATGAAGTCTACCAAGCCAGGTGAAAAAAGTGGTTTTTATAATTATCACCCGCATTGTATGAAATAAGTGTGCATTCCAATTTTTACACACAAAGCGGATGTGTAAAACTGTAGAAGGTTATATTTGTGTTGTATTCTTGCTTCAGGTAGCACAAACACAACATAATATTTTTACATATACAGAAATCAGATGTCAGGTAAACTTAAGATGTAGGCAACAACGTGAAGCAACATTTATAGTCAGACTGGGTGAGCCAGAATTGTTTTTGTGTAGTATGGAGTATGTTAACTAAGAAATTTCACATAATAAGCTGATGTTAGATTGGCATCTGTTTTAGATTCTTCAGCTTCAGCAGCCTGGCACCACTCAAGTCACCAACAAGGATGGAGTGACACAGGAGGAACAGCATAAAAAATGGAAGAAATATAGGCTAAGCATGAAGATAAATTGTCATTGTTTAAAAAATAAGAGAATGAAAGGAAGAATTTTACCCACAAAACAAGTGAGTGACACCCTTGGTAAAACTGTATTGACTACCTATCTGCAAGAGATCATTTGTTTTCTTTTCTCTTTGTAAAATTACTACAGCATCCATTTTTTTTTCTTCTGACTGTATAGATCACTTTGATTGTGGGCAAGGATTCTGATATTTGGCAGCCAAACCCTTGTGCATATGTCTGTCACACATAAGCCTCACTCTGAAAGTAGTGGGAAATCAAGGGTAGAGAACTCAGGCTTTGAAAAAGTGCATGGGAAAAGAAACTACCCATTGTAGTGGACAAGTAATCTGAATATATAAGAAAGATCTTAAGCTGCATTGGGAAATAGTGTTTTTGTCCAACATCACTGCAACATTAGATTTTCCATTCCTGTAGCACGTCCTACCACCTCTGGGAGCACATCATGGCTAATAGGTTATTAATTGATTCAGTGAGAATAGAATTAATCTATTTTCAATATCCACTTTTGGAAAAGATAGCAGTCAGAATAGCAAATGTAACGCCATCAAGGACAGGTGTCACACTTTATAGAAAGTGGACCACAAGATCATCTATAAGCTCCTTGGTACTTCCTATATCAAGATGCACATTCCCAATTTCTGATTATATAATTTTGGTTTTAATTTCCATTCACAGACTGATAGTAATCCACAAAACTATGTCAAAAAAAGGTCTGTGAACATATTCCCTCTTTTTTTCCCAACAATTAGTCTAAACTAAGCTTCACCAAAATACTCCATTTACCAGTATCTGGCACCCTTATATAAAATAATGTGTCATTTGTCACCATGGCTTGTAATCTGAAAATATGACTGGAGAACTGATGGAGACCAAAATAGCCTTTTACAGTCTGTAGGTGGCCAAAAAATTCTGCAGCTATATTCCATAAAATTCCTTGCTGCCGTGATTTGTTTCTCAAGAGCTCTTGTCAATCCACTTAAAACTCTTGCTCACATGGGCCCAAGGAGAAACGGGGGGGTTTGTTCAAATTGTAACCAAATATAGTTATACATTAAAATCCCTCTTTTCCCATGTAAACAGGATATTAGCAATTCCATAAATTCTAAACAATTTTTTACTTTGAAATTCTGGGCTTTTAGAATCATCTCAAGGTTTGGAGAATTTAAAGCCATATACCTTGAAACCTAACAGCAGAGAATCTCAAGCAAAACTGGGAAATTCATAGTCTTAATATCATTCCTTATTCCAAAATTTTACATGCAGCCTGTATATCATGTTCAGTTCTGTTATTATTTATGGTAGTCTATAAATGGCTTGCATGTCATTAATGAGTATTTTTAACTTAGAAGAGAATTTGGATAAGATTTTAACAAAGGATTGTAACTACTCTCAAGGAAATGATCAGCATTATCTGCCTTAGTAACTAATTTATTAAAATCAACTATTACAAATCAAAAGAGACAAGTAACAAATCATAGGCTATAAATAGTAGGACCTAAGAAAATTATCAATTATATTTTTCTACTTCATTCTCAACCAAAAAAAAAAATATTTGCTTTCTCACAATTATCCTATTTCTTCACCAAAAGGAGATAAAATTCCCCCATGTGCATTTAAAAATCAATTGTACACATTGCAGAGTTTGAATTTTTTTTCCATTTGGAAGAAAAATAACTCATGAAAATATAATTTGAAAATAACTAAGCTACATTCTGTAGGATTTATGAATCTCCATAAGAAAACTAAAATATAAAATATTAC